CAACTTAAAAAACATTAGAGTTGCAAACTTTCACAAGTATAATATGTTAAGACTCACTGTCAGCTTACAAATGAGTCCAACTTACCAGCAATTCTGGAACAGGACTCGTTAGTAAGTCAGGACTTAGAAAAAAACCAGAAGGATAATTTTGCCAATTCCCTTTCCAAATCCAATGTTTATCTTAACCAAGATTATCAGATGTAAACATAAAGTAGTTCTGTTTTGTTTTAATGAAGTAACATGTTCTAGCTCACATTATTTTGGTCAAAACTATCATCACTAGAGCTCTTGCATGAAAACTTGAGCAGTTTTAAAGAAACACCAGGACTACAACCACCGTGCCACTTGATCCATGGTCCAACACCAAGCTAGTTTTTATTTTGTTTTACTAACACTTCATGTATCCTACAATGAAAACTATGGTTTTTAAAAAAACTGCAGCAAAACAGAAACAAAGTGTTAAACTGAATAAATGCAACAGCCAAAGCCAGTGGCTGTTAAAATGTTTTAAGACAGTTGTATCGAAAGGGTTTTAATTATAGAAAAAGCTGTAATAGCAATGAAAATTCATTTATTTGGAATACTATAGTTTTTACTTAATGAATTTGAGTGACATCCAATGTCTTAAATAGTATTAAAATAATTTAAATAATTGTTTTTGTGGTACTGGGGCAGTGCCACTGAGCTAAATCCCGCACCTTAATTTAAATAAATTAATTATCAGAACATTTCTAGGAAATGGGAAACCCTTCAGGTTAAGACTTCCATCTTTTTAGCCGGGTGTGGTGGCGCACACCTGTAATCCCAGCACTCAGGAGGCTGAGGCAGGAGGATCACTGTGAGTTCGAGACCAGCCTGGGCTGTAGTGAGCTCCAGGTCAGTCTCAACTGCACAGTGAGACCCTGTCTCAAAAAACCAAAAAAAAAAATTTCCATCTTTTAACAGTGTAAGCCTATCAAAGTGTGACTTCACAAAATCAAGAATTTTGTCATATCAGTTTGCATTAATATCTAAATATTCAGAATAGCCCCAGCGAATTACATGTATGATAAAATTTACTTCATCAAAGAAACTGCTTAGAGCTGCACACAGGGAAAACTGGGTTCAGTGAGCCCAGGAGACACAGATCCAGGTCCAGCCCTTGCTGGCAGCGAACCCTCTTCAGTCCCTGACACGGTAGATACCCAGACCCCGTGACAGCGGACAGTCAGAGGGAAAAGTTCACATTAGCAGGCATCCACAGTCCACAAAGCTTGCCACCAAATCTTAGTAGGTGCTTCTAAGTGTGAGACAAGTTTGGATAAATGTCATATTTGGATGTGTGTTTCTTTTGGTGAATAACCTACCTAAGCTTTAGGTCAGAAGCACGAAGTCCTCAAGGAAGCTTCTGTATTTGGAGCAGCCACATTGGTCAGAGTGTTAAGAGTCCTATAACACTCTGCCTACCCCCTTTTCTGTAATCTAGACCAGAGGCTTCAGTGGTAGCTGCTAAGTGCACATCCTTTCTCACCCACCTACAAGCCAAGCCCACTTCATCCACTCTCACGCAGCAGCCAGAATGACCCAGGGACGTTTAGTTTAACCCTGTGTTTTAATTTGGATTACTTACCAATCTTCAGTCAGAAATCTGAAGTAAAACTCCACCATCAGGCCAAGCGTGGTGGAGCACACCTGTAATCACAGCACTCGGGAGGCTGAGGCAGGAGGATCGCTGTGAGTTCAAGACCAGCCTGGGCTACATAGTGAGTTCCAGGTGAATCTCAACTACATAGTGAGACTCTGTCTCAACCCCCGCCCCCCAAAAAAATCCACTATCAGCATCACTGAAGATGGTCCTAAATGTAAAGCACTCTTGAGTTTGTAGGGGTGGAGATGTTTGTGCAAGCTACTAATCTATAATCACTCATGTAACTTAACACAAATGTGGGCACATAGACTCTCCTGAAAGACACCACCAAAACAAGGAGCAGGAGCATTAATAGAAACTATTCAGTTAACGGAAGCAATTTAAAAATAAATGTTAGACCTCAGAAATCGAGATATGGCTATAGATGTCATCCCTGTAGGCCAAGAATATGAAAAGGCCTTCAAAGAAAGATAAGCTAAAAAATACTGTCAGACACACACAGGATTTACTTTAATTTGTTCAAATTAGCAAAACCTGAAGTTACAATGAAACAAACTCATTCATATTTCCACTCTACGGGTCCACTAAAAAGCAGTAATTCATGACTTTGAAGAATAATCCCACAGGTGCAGTGGCCCCCACCTGTAATCCCAGCACCCGGGAGGCTGAGGCAAAAGTTCAAGCCCAGCATGGGCAATTTAATGCATCAGTGAGTTCCTATCTCAAAATAACAAGGGAAAAGGATATAGCTCACTTCAAAGGCCCTAGGTCTAATCCTCAGTACCAAAGGGGTAAACATTGTTATGGAATCCCAAGACTATAATCAGAAAACGTATAGATATGTTCACAGGTTATTTTAAAAAGCTACAAAAAAGAAATTTACGAAGACCAATTGCAAAAAAGAGGAAAATGGCTAAAATTATAGTGAATCCTCACAAGTCACAAGAAACGGTGTTTTCCCAAGAATATGAGATGAAATGCTCAGATTATGTTGTATGGCGAGAGGGTTCCATAATCATGTGACACTAATATTCTACAGAATATGTACAAGCACATGTAAAGGAGAAAAAAATTTAAGTCATATGCACAGGTGGTAAGGTTACAGGTTTTTGTGTGTGCCATTTTGTGATTTCAAAATCTATGCAGCAACTTCTGTAAGAAAACTGCCAAACCTGGTGGCACTCACCGGTAACCCTACCATTCTTGGGAGACTGAGGCAGGAGGACTACAAATCCAAGCACAGCCTGGGCAACATAGCAAGACCCTGGAGTAAATTTTAAAATAATGTAAAAAAGGCGGCTGGGGATTTAGCTCAGTGGTTCCTCTGCCTGCCTTGCAAGCACAGGGACCTGAGTTCAATCCCCGGTACCAAAAAAAAAGTAAAAAGGGCTAGGGATATAGTTCAGCGCAAAGGCCCAAGGTTCAATCCTCGGTACCATCAAGTAATATACCTCCTCAAACATACCTACTAAATTGTATAAAAGCTGTTCTGCTAAAGACACGCTAACAAAACCTGGATATAAATCTGTGGTTGAACTGTATTTATGGCTACACAGACAGATGTTATAACCAATTCCAAAAGTAGTTTCTATACAGAGAAGAGACTAAGCAATCTTCTTTCCTGCACCACCTTCCGTGGTGGCACACGCCTGGAATCCCAGCACTCAGGAGGCTGAGGCAGGAGGATGGCCATGAATTCAAGGCCTGCCTGCACTACAATGAGACCCTGTCTCAAAAAATTAAAAAATACAGAAGTAAAATGTTATCCAGTGCTGTCCAAAATTCTTCACTGACTTTTGTTACCTCCAACACCAATGAAAGCCACACACAATTATCTTTGTCTCTTCAGATGACAATTTCAAATCTTGCCCTGCACCTGAAGGTAATTTACAACAGTTTGCAGCATTGGCACAAGAGGCACAATAATATCGTAATAGCATAACATTTTGTGGGGTGCCTGTTATGTGAAAAGCATTGTTCTGGGTTAACTTGCAAGTCATTTAACCTTAGTAACTATCACAATTTAACCCCATTCTTACACAACAGGCCCAGGGTCACACAGCTGGTAAATGGAGTCAGTCAAGATTGGCACCTAGATACCTGGAAGTCTGGCAACAGAACCAAGACTCTTAGCCACCAGGGCTATGAAATCATACCTGTTTTAGCATTTTTAAACAGAAGTGACCAGCACTCTGTGGGCCTTCCTGTGAGAATCAGGGGAGGCCTGGGGGTACAGTTCAGAGGCCACACACCCAGCCTGTGCAGTGCTTTCTGTGTCAAGGACTGTACTTCATCAAACTCAGACATGAAGCACACACGAATTTTTAATTTGCCAGATAATCTTTTAATGAGAATTATAAAAGACCAAAAACATTTTTTGCAAACTGCTTTTTTTAAACAAATGATTTTTGTTTTTAATTACAAATACTGTGTATGATGATGCTTTCTTTTGTAAAACCAATAAATACAAGAACAGATTTTAAACGTGATTTGTCCAAGATATTTGAAAAAGGAAAAATAAAGAGCCTGGTTTTTAAATATTTAAGTAACTCAGAATTTATTCCCCAACCTTTCAAAGAGTAAGCCTGAGGGTATTATGTAAATGGAAGAGCGTGAGAGGGAATAAGAAAGAGACATCATCAAGCGTCCTAAGTAGCTTTTGATGGTTCTTCTGAGGTTTCCTTTCAGGGATTCATGTCTTCACAAAACAGCTTAATTTAAAAACTTTCTAATGAACTGATTAATGAGAGAAAAGAATGTATTGAACATATAAACTTTACCATAAACAATTATGCATATCAAAAGACACTAACTTTAAAAAGGTACAAAAAAGTGAGGAAAAACCTGAATTACAGAAAGTAATTTATTTAATGAAATCCTAGAATTAATAAAAATTAGCAAATACACTCACACACGAGGAGAAAAAAAAAAAAAAAAAACAGAGCAGCACTGTGTGTTGACTCAGAAAGGGAGGAGCAGTGGCCCAGGACCACCCGATGGCTTGTCAGTGAAAGAAAAAAGCACGCACCGAAAACAAAACAGAAAACAAAACAAAACAAAAATCAGTCTCTGTCAACATTACAATCAATCTACAACAAACACAATTCAGAATTATTTTACAATGCTTCCTTTCTTAATACAAAAGATGCCCATCCTGGGTGTATATATATATATACTTTTTCAGTGGTTTACTGTTGACTTATTTTTAAATATATTAGTGTTACTACATGCAACTGTTTCCTGTATTTAAAGCCTTTCTTTTATTTACCTTCATGTGTCTAGCTTCCACCTACCAAGAGTTTCAGATTGGCAGGCAGATGGGTGTCTTGTTCTCTGTGAAACTGAATGCAAGTTTTAAACACTGGCCCAAAAATGTTTGACTACCATTTCAACACATGGAAATAGTTACATTGATGCCTAAATTGCCATTTTCTGCAAAAAGCTGTGCAATGCTGGTGTCAAAGACGAGGCAGTCACTGTTCATAATGGCTGTAGCAATTCCCTCATGAATGGATCGGGGAGTAGCTTCCCAAGTCAATCGCCGCCTATGACCATTTAGCTCAAGTCGGTAAGCAAAATTTTCAGCTTGCTTGCGTGTTCCTATCAGCTGTACAATTGCAAAGAACTGCTGGTGACCATCGTACTTCTCCTGTTTCTCTAAAACCAACATGAAATGAAAGCCAAAACAGGACTGCATCATCACCCAGTCAACAGCACCAGGAAGGTTAATGTCTGTCGCGAGGAAAACTATGTCCTCCCCTTGCAGGGTGGTAATGGACTTGTGCTGGTGCATCAAGTGAGGCATGACAGCATCCAGAGAGCCTTGCCACTTACAGGAAGCACCAGGGCACGGGCAGGAGTAAGGCCTGAACTCACACAGCTCCTCATGGTCTGCTTTTTCTGTGTGTGGTAAAGTTATTTCACATCCAGAAGAGGCATATTTACAAGGGAAAAGTACTGAATTGGCCACTTTCTCCATAGCCAAGTTGCGAATGGATCCCAGTGGGCCCCGGCAAGTTGGACAACATGTGAGCTTCGGACGACAGTTGCTACAAACAAGATGGCCACTCTGACACTGAAGAATGGGTGGTAACACATAGTCAAAGCAGACGGGACACTCAAAAAGACTCGCCAAGTCATTGTTGGATGCAGTTGTGCCAGTTAGGGCAGGCACCCTCTGCGATGGTGGACACTTGGAGGTACCAGTAGGTAATGCTGTAGCAGTCTGACGGCTCATTTCTGTAATAAAAAATTTTTAAAATTAAAGACGCAGGAGAAATTACAACTGTAAATAGCACAGACAAAATGTAAATTACACTAAAAATGCATTTTGCAATTAGGTGTTCTACACTGGATAAAACCTGCTTTGCAAACTGTCCCAGATCATATTTAAAATCTGCCCCCTTAAAAAAAAAGTACTATAGGGCTGGGGATTTAGCTCAGCGGTTCAGTGGCCTGCCTTGCAAGCGCAAGGACCTGAGTTCAATCCCTGGTACCAAAAAAAAAAAAAGTACTTAGCTCACTGGTTCTGCTGCCTGCCTTGCAAACACAAGGGCCCATGTTCAATACCCAGTACCAAAAAAAAAATCAGTATAAAGCATATTTGGATAAACTACATACAATAAATGCTAAAACAGAAACTGAACCACAAGTTATAAGATACAGTAAGTATCATAAATACAATCAGATCTGTTTTGATTGGACACTGTTTTCCCTGAGTCTCTAACTCTCTCTCCAATTCTCAGCTGCTGACTGATTCAGGGAGTTATAGTTTCTGCTGGTGAGGAGTATCTTCTCTAGATACATATTTTGGGAATGTGGTACAGGAGGTCACAGGGAAAGGACCTGTTACCACATTCCATTGTCCATCTTTAACCTTCCCAAAAATATTATCAGCAAGGTATTTATTTTGTTCCCTACTGATCAGTGCCCACCTCAAAAGTTAGGGAAGACAGGGTAGAAACAGAGAGCCACCATTAAAGTTGTTCATCTAGTATTTAGAGACAGTACCTTACTCTATTCTATTTCCATTCCATTATATAAATCAGATGATATACAAGGGGACAGGAATCAGTACAAAAGAGTAAGGATAAAACCACCACAGATGCACACAGTGCATACTGGGGATGGGGGGAGAGTCCACAGGTCAAGAATTCCCTGCACCCCTGGGGTTCCTTAGTGTTGCTGAAACAATCATCAACAGGATAAATAGCATCACTTACCAGGATAAATGTTTTTTGGAAGAATCAATCTACTAGGTAACTAGTGAGGGCAAATCAAACAGAAACAAAACAAGCAACTTTTCCCCATTTAGGAATCTCTCTCTGCTGGGCTATGACAGGTCACAAAGATCAATAAGGCTGCTGATATCCTAAGAGGACACTCCCAGAAACAATACTAAGGCCTGTTTTCTATAAAATCACAGCCTGGAGCTTAATGTGTACTCTCAATTACAATCATAATTCTGTTGGAAATAACAATGTTTAAGAAACAGACAAAAGTACATACAATCTGGGTTCTAGATTACGCAAGTGGTTACCATTAGAAACTAAATGGGAGGGGCTGAGGGTGCAAAAAAATTAATTCCTTTAGACTAAAGGAATATTCTAAAGCTAAAAGGGAAAGAGAAACGTAACAGTTATTTAGCATGTGTGAGGCCCTGGGTTTGATCCCTACAGCCACATATACATCCCTAGAAATGTAATTAAATTCCATCACAACTGTGGCTTACATGGGCCTAGAAAGAACAATCAACCGTATCATGTGCAGCCCTGTGCAACCCAGCAGGGTCGTGACAAAAGAACTACGAAGGAACTCTTCCCATTTTGCTCCAAATAAATTCATCCATTTTATGTCACCTGTAAGACAATGGGCTTATTCATCTCACCCTGTTTGTAAGCTCTGTGCCTGTTTTGTGGTCCATCCTATGCTGCTCACTTAAGTGAACAACACAATAACTGGAAAGTGATTTGGGGGGGCACAAAACAGTCTAAGTCTCCAATGCCTTTCAAATTATTAAACCAAATAGTATTCATTATCAAAGGGCAGTCAACTCCGTTTACATTTAACATAAAATAGAGCATAAAAACACGGTTGTCCAATTTATTGACCTAGCAAAATAGTTCTAACACTTGTCAATAGTTCTATTTGTATTGTATCTTTATCTTTACTACTTTCACACAGAGAGCACATTGTAATTCCCACTGGAAGTATGAACAACAAATACAGCAGCCTGTATTTCTTGTGAGTGAAGGCGTTTCAGGGTACCAACTGTTAAAGCCTTCTGTAGCTCCAAAGGTGGAACCCAGCTTCAGGCTGAACCAGAAAAGGAATCCCAATCGCAGGCGGGCCTGCAGGAGCAACCATGCACAGCCCTGCGTAAGTCGCAACTTTCGCTTAAGTATGATTTACAGGGAAGTACCGCAGCACACATGAAACCTCACTGTCAGCCACGGAAAGTGCTCACTCAGGCTGCTGCCAGTCCCCACAACAGACTCTGGGATTTACTGCTTTCAAGTCTGTTTCCTGAGCCCAATCTTTCCACGTCAGTACCTTTTCTCTTCCTCGTCCTAGTCGTAGGTAAACACGTGAGCAAGACTCCCCTCCAGGAGTACAGAAAGGGCAGGGCAGGCTTCCCAGGCATGTGAAATCAGGCTGGGCATGGCGCTTCCAGCAGCAAAGATAATGTGCAACGCAGGCCCTGCCTGGCCACCTCCTTGTGAATAAGTAAAGACGTCCAAATCCGTGTCGGAGGTCAGGCTCTTTCAGTCCATTCCTCCCCAGTCACCGCTGGGCTACAGACGCAGAGAAAAGGCGGCCTTGGTGCCTTGCCGGCGACCACACCTCCCTGAGCTCAAATTCGCCTGCTTTTCCAAAAATGGGAGCCATAGCTGAGCTAGACTTCGTCAGCCTAAAAAGTTTTCTTCCACAGCTTCACTGGCCAGGCTCCTGCCAAATTGCCAAATGGGGGTGGCCGGGCGCCCTGTGCGATCTCTGGCCCTCTTCAAACCAGGAGAGCCCTAGGGAGTGGCCACAGCCCGCTGAAACTCGCCCAACCGACCGGCTCCCCAGAATCCCGGCACCCAGGGCGGGACCACCAACCGGCAGGGTAGGGCGGGTCCTAAGAGGGGCGGGCCGCGCCCAAAGCACCGCCCACCGTCCACCCACCGTCCGCGGAAAGAGCTTGGCCCTGGCCAGCACTTGTCCAAGTTTAGGTGGAACCAAGGCCCTGTAGGTGTTTCTTTCTTCGATCTAAATGATACACAGGGTATATGGAAAATGCAGTCAAGTACTCTTCCTGGCATGGATTACACTGTCTGACTTAATCCCCACGTTTTCACAGAGCAAAAAAAAAGGATTCTGCCTCATTCATCCTACAGCGGCAGTGCCTCCTGGGGGTTCTCACTTCACTTCTTTCCCTATCGGCAGCATATTGTAAACTCTTCCCTCTGCGAACAAAATGCAGTGAGAGTAGTAAATACACTGAGGACACAGAAACTCGTATTTCAACCTCCAAACTGGGACTCTTCCCACTCTGGGAAAGCCATCTTAAACAGCCTCATTAAGTCGGAGCAGCTTGTTTTGTTTTTAAACAAGCATAACCCTTGCCCCATGAAGTCTTATGGGCCTCAGCTCTACGTTGCGTCAGCGGGGGCGTTCAGAGTCTAACCTGTCATTACATCATGCTCAAGGCAGCTTCAAACACAGCAAGGAGTGGTTGCGAGGGAACCAAGCCGGCAGGTGCAGATTAACCACTTTCGTGACCAAATTGCAACTCTCATCACTTTCCCACCTAATAATGTGCTCGGTCACCTCAACTTCATTTTAATATTCGTCTACACAAAATATCTGTGGAACAGAAATACAACTAAAAATAGTCTGCCACACAAATGTAAAATTACCATCACTTGTATTTTTAAATTCTAGACAGGTCTTGGGTACACAGAGAAGGAGACTTCAAATACTTCAGGCAGAGAAACTCTTGCAAATGTAACCAAGAACCCAAGTGCGTAAAACAAGTACAGGAAATGGCTGATTATCCACAAGCCACACAGAGTTCAGTGTCAACCCCCCCCCAAGGATATAAAGTCTTACAGCACAGTTTGAAAACCACGAGTCTATGCACTAATCCCTCAACAAATCAAAACGGTAAAAACAGGAGAGTTCTGGGGACATACTCTGGCTCCATCACAGGGTCAGCTGTAAAACTTGGATTTTTCCGTCTCGAATGGCTTGTCTGGACTGAGATTAATGGTTTAATTCATGTATGTCACAGGTGGTGTATATTCCAAGATAAATTTACGTATTTACCTAAATCCTGAGTTTACTGCTCCAGGTCACCAACTAAAGACCTAGAACTTCTGGGCTCTGAATACACACTCTCAAAGGTGCTTTAATTAAGCTAAAGGTGACCCAACAGGTCTGCCAGGGATCAACCACCATTTAACTTTAGCACAATAAATCCTACCTCCTAAACTGGGCAAAATATTTATTTACATTGGCTTTACAAAGAGCTGAAAATTTCACAAAAAACGTATTTCACTAAAACAAATATACAAAATTCAAAATTAGTAAAAACTCAAAATTGAACAAGAATGCTCTATTACCTATCCTACACCTCAAGCCTAGTTTGGTATAAAGTTTAAATAGTTGTTACCTAAATCAAAACATTTCAGAATCAGCCTTTTATGTTGTCTTAGTCATTTAAGAGCATCCAACTATTGCTTTGTGACATTAACATCTTTACAGTGGAGACAGAAAGAAATAAACTTTTATTCTCAGTTCTGTGTGGCAACATTTGTTTCCCCTTATAAACACTTACAAAATAAAAGTTTTAAATGGGAAATGTACTCAAACGTGGAAGAAGGATCACCATTTATTACAAAGCAAGTTTCAAAAAGGACAGGGGGTAGGGCAAATCAGGAAGACTATACACAGGGCAGGACAGGAAAAGGAAAGGGAAAAAGACCAATAAATTAATTATCTGTGATAAGATACTGATGATTTCTAGCTATACTTCCTTTACAAGAGACAACAGAAAAATCACTTTATAAGGCGGGGGCTGAGGGTATAGCTCAGTGGTACAGCACGAGTTTATGGCACATGCAAGGCCCTGGGTTCAATCTCCTGTATTCCTCCAAAAAGAAAAATCTCATCAGTGTGATCTGTGAAACAGTTAAACTGAGAAAAAGATAAAAGCTGCATTTTTTTCATTTACTAAAAAATAAAAGTAAATACTGCTATTATCCCTCCTTTATTTCCCAAAAAATAATTCTAGAAATTACGTAATATATATCATAAAATTAAAGTTACAGGACCAGTGGTATTCTCAGTAGTAGAGCATGTGCAAAGCCCTGAATTTGGCTGGGAGAGAGTGTCAATAAAATTGCAAGTATAGGCCAGGGATTCGGCTCAGTGGCACCACGCCTGCCTCACAAGCACAAGGTCCTGAGAGTTCAATCCCAGGTACCACCCCCCAAAAAACAAGCAAGCATAAGATTACAAACTTGCACTTTGCATTAGTAATCTGAGTTAAATAAAACTCCATTCAAAACATTTAGATCCTTCCTCCTCCCCAAAATGTCTTTTTCTGAAAAAAGAGCTTCCTACATTAATTTGACATTGTGGTGGGTGTTATGTAGAAAGCATTTAGGTTATAATGTTAAACAATGCTTCTACTTTAAGATTTACTTGCTTCTTGCACACTGACAAAATTAAAGCAAGTCTCCACAAAAATTCAACAGCTTGTTGATGGCAGGAGGGGAGGAGAAGTAAAAAAAGAATTCAGATGTGTTATGTACACTGGACCATCTCCCCAAAATATATGTAATCATTATATACAGCAAACAGGTACTAATCAAAAAATGTAAAGTTTTAATAGTTTAAACACCAAAAGTTAAAAACCAAACACTGTCCCCATCATGTGAAGCAAGGTGAGAAGGCAAGTAGCTATCTACAAGCCAGAAAGAGAACCCTCACAGGAACTCAATGGGCTAGTACTCAGACAGGGGGACTATAGCCTTTGAAACAGAAACAGAAATAAACCAATGTTGCTTAAGCCAAAAAACAACAACAACAACAACAACAACACTGCTATAAAACGTGTTTTCAGTTTCCCAAAACATAGCAAAGTCATAGTATAAGAAATTTTTTAAACTGTGTATTTTCCCTAAAATCATTCTTCCTGAAGATAAACTGAAATTCGTAGCTATGGACAATAGGTCTAGTAAGACTGATGACCTGCAGGGGGAAACCTAGGCAAAGGACTTGATAGAAAGCTGTGTAGAAATCTCAACAAAGGGTTAGGGAGTGCAAACCCTAATTCAAATGTTCAAAAGGCAAACACTTTTGCTTCCAAAAATCATTACATGTAATGATTTCCACTCCTGTGAAAAAACAGGACATACTGAATCAAAACTTATTAGGCACTATGTTAGATATGATTCATGATTAATATATAAAATATAAAATAGGAATGAAATATCTGTGAGAAATCTAAGAGGAGCCATAAAAAAATGCAGATGATATTCAAGAGTCAGGCCTGGAATCTGGGTAATATATGGAGTCACACAGAAAAGGAGCCCACCTAAAATGAGAAAAGACAATGGGTGAAGGTAGGGCAGTGGTATGGGGAAAAAATAAGAACCAAGATATATCACGTCTTTACAAGATCCCACTGATAAATGTAACTATTCTTTGCTTTAAATGTACCAATAAACTTAATGAAAAAAAAAAGACAAGTCCTGACATTTAGAGATTCTTCAGTAAAGGAAGTGTTTGAAACCCCTGAATAGCAACAGTTCTCAAACATCACTGTGCTCACTATCTTCCAGTGAAGTCTTACCACCTCAGTCTGAGGCTGGCAAGGTACCTGCATCTTTACCGAGCCTAGGCAAGACGGAGGCTGCGGCTCACAGGGAGGCTCACACAGAGCAGCACCACTTAAGACATGAGAAGGGCCAAGGGGGCCACAGGAAACCAGGCAAGGAGGACCTCAGAAGCCAAGGGTCTCATGTGCGCGCGCGCACACACACACACACACACCCACCCACCCCCAGGAGGAATTACGCTTAAAATATGCTTCAGGAAACTTTGTTCTTGTAATGACAGAAAAGACAAGAGACTACCTCAACAAGGGCTCCAACAAGAAAATTGCCTGATGAAGAAGTCAAACCAATCTAAACATTAATCAAAATCAAGTACTGGGGTAGAAGGATTAAAGGTGGAGATGCCATTTAAATACAGAACTAATACTGAACTATGGGCATTATAATTACAAATCAGAATGTAAATATGCTAAGCCTTAGAAAGTGTGTTATTGTGATTTATAATAAACACTATTATGCCTTCACCCCTTTTCTGTCATACAGCCCTTGAAGTCCTGCAATCTCTTAAGTGCTAAATCTTTTGTATGCTAATGAGATGGCTGCTGGTAGGGAGCTCACTGCCTGGGAAGCCATTCAAATGTTTGAATTTCCAGCATACTCCCTCATCCGGACTTCTAGAAAGGAGAAAGTGGCTGAAAGTAAAGCTGGTCACCAAAGGTCAAAGATTTAATCAATTATACTTACATAATGAAGCCTCCATAAAACCCAGAACAGGGATCAGAGCTTCAGGTTGCTGGCTATGTACAAGTGTCTGGAAGGTGCTGTACCTGGGTAGGGCAGCAATGCCCCACACCCTCCCATATACCTGGCCTCTTCACCCATCCCTTTGTGATATAGTTTTATATAATTTAATAGATATTTTATATAATTTAATATAATTTTAAATGAGTGGGTAAAGTATATCCCTGAATTCTGTTAGCCATTCTAGCAAATTAACTGCACAGAGTCCTGTGAACCCCAATTATGGTTGGTCAAAAGTACAGTAACCTGGAAATTGCTATCAACATCTTAATGGGGGGGTCTTGCTGGACTGAGGCCATAACCAGGACGACAGACAGAACTGACCAGCCACCTGGTGTCTGCTAGAGAGCGGCTAGTGTAAGAAAGCCTCCACACAGCTGAGGCTAAGTGCTCCCAAAAAGAATAGAGGGAAACAGTTTTTTTTGTACCATACACAGCTAGGTACAAATAACTATATAAATAACAACAACTACAAAAAAATCAAATGGTAGAGAAGTAGTAAAAGTACTGTCACAGTTCCAGTCTAGGCAGTACAAGGGTGACTGGTGATGCCACAAAAGCAATCTTGAAGATTCAACTGGGTCAGAAGTCAAGGTGAAGAAGGCCAAAGCAGTGGAAAAGTGACTAGGTAATAATTGGAAAACTCAAGAGACTGCTTTTTTTTTTGTACCGGGGATCGAACTCGTGACATTGTACTTGCAAAGCAGGACAGGGAACCAATGAGCTAAATCCCTGGCCCCACAAAGATTGCTTTTTACTTGCTCTATTTCTTCAAACAAGAGACTACAATACAGTGAATGTTAATAAGCTCCTGTAAACAAGGAAGACCAAAATTACCCAAGAAACAGAGCAGTGTGATAGAGTTAGTTCTTGGAAGGGTGAGGGAGGATTTTCAAAGCTCAGGACTGTACTGTCTTAGAAGAGTAATTTCTGCCACAGTGAGAACAGAGAAGACAGAAACAAATGTAAAATTGTCATCTTAGATCCCCAAAGCCACCTACTACTGCCCTTAAGTCAAAAGAAAAATAACTGGTCATTAATCTAATATGTTCTCCAAACTTTAGTAAATACTGGAATTCTAAAATCTCAAAATGACTGCATGTAATGGGCAGTATCCAGCACTGGTGAGTACATGGAACCCTCAAACTCTCATACTTGGCTGGCACAAATGCAAAATGGCACAACTACATTGCCATGGCGGCAGTGAGTTCCACCAGTTACCACTGTTTCTGGATTCTACTTATATTTTACTG